CCCGGGCCCTCCGACTGGCCCCTGCATGCAGGTGGTCGGGGAGCAGGTGGGCCGGGCTTGTGTCCGGCCCTCGCTTTTCCATGGGCGCTTCAGCGTGACTTTCCTAGTGCCCTGCCCGCGGAACTCGGTACACACTGTGCTTTTATTTTTTGCCATATTTCATTGCCACGGTCAGCTGGAGGATAAAAGGCAAGTGGACCTCGTGTGGTGCATCTGGTTCTGCCCGCCAGCCCCCGTGACGAATGCACGGCTTGGCTGTCGTCAGGCGACCCTGACCACGTGGTGGGACTGGCGTGCGTGCTCAGGGCTGGGTACGAGGCGGTGGGCTCCGGTGGGCTTGGCTGGGAGGAGAATGCTGTTCTGTGACCAGATCTGCTTAAGCGGTTCTTGCCACGATCACTCTGGGCGAGGCTGAGCAGGAGAGCTGTCTCTGGTCGCTGGGCCCCGACCCCCGCCCGCGTTCCTGATTCTGTCCCTCCGGACACCGGACACCGCCCCTTGTGCAGTTACTTCATAAACGGAACCTGGAGCCGCTGCCCAGGTAGAGCTGAGCAGGGGACTGCTCCTTGCTCGTCCATGCCCCTGTGTAGGCCCACCTCAGGGCCTGGGGGGGATGGCACGGTAGAATGAGAATGAAAACCTCTTGTCTTCACGTTTCGTCGACTTTTTTGAGGTGTGACTGAAGTCACTAAACTGCACGTGTTGAAAGCACACAGTTTGGTCACTCCTGAAACCATCACCACACTCAGGGTAAAAATGTTCCCTTCACCCCAAAGGGGAAACCACTGCTGCTGCTTTTTTTTTTTTTTAAGGCCAGGCAACCCTCGGTTGACCTCACAGATTGCAAGGACCTTGTCAGCTTACAATCCCTTATTTTTAAATTTTTTTTATGCCTACAGCACCTCGTCTTCCTAGGTGGTCTCCCATCCAAGTACTCACCAGGCCCGACCCTGCTTAGCTTCCGAGATCAGATGGGATCGGGCTTGTTCAGGCTAGCGTGGCCATAGGGGGAACTACTGCTTCTGTGGTGACTGCTATAGCAGCTGAGTGGCCTCAGATAAGCTGGTTCCTGGGTCCCCATTGTCCCCAGGTCCACA